TTTTTTTCTTCGCAACATTTCGCAAATGCTTTTTTAAGGAAGCGTAATTTTTGAGGTCACTGTAGTGGCTTAGCAAATTAGTATCGCACTCGCCATTTATGTTCCTAAGCCAAGAAAATGGGGCCAGCCACTCCGTCCGAAACTTTCTCCTGGTCTCAGGCTTCCGCTCGTCGCTCGAGCTTAAAATAATGCAACATTTTAGTAAATCATGCAAAATACACAAACTGCCTATGTGTGAACCTGCTCTCACTGCCACTGTCCGTCTCTGTATTTGCACCTGTCGGGACGTCTTTTCGTACAACAAATCTGCGATATTTATTAATTAAATATTTCATATATACAATCACATTTTCTTATTACATACCTGTCCATTTTTCTTTTTACTAATTCACTTATTCCACCACGATTTCAGTTAAATGAATTTTGAAGCAAGCTGGGTATGTTCGCCTTTTGTTGATATACATAAAAAGGTGTAAATTAATCCGTTCGAAAACTTATGTAATAAATTAAATAGTAAACTTCATTTAGGAAACTGAAATTTTCAGCTTTCTTTTGTTTTCTGCATAAAACATTTTACCAAAAATCTACCAAAATGGGAAAAAATGTACTTTTTTATCAAAGGAAATTTTTTCTATAAATTTTGGTAATAATTTACCAAAGTGGTAACACTGGTAGACTGTCAAAGTGAGAAATTTCAGAAAGCAGTTGCAGTGGCACCTTGCATGTAAAGTGTCTTTCAAAAGAATTTTATTTATTTCCGAAAGGCGAATTGCAGGGAAAATTTATGAAATCGCTTTTTGACTGCTTACACGGCGAATGAATTTCTAGCAATATTTCTCGATACTAAAAAGCAACCGTGAGCCGCTAAAATAAACAAATTTATAAACGCAATAAATAAATAATAAAAACAAGTAAGAAAGTCTAAGTTCGGGCGGAGCCGAACATTAAATACCCGGCGCAAGTATTAAATATATGATTTTCACCTTTCCGAAAGCTACCGCTACATTGTAAGCCGGTGTGTATCAATTCTGAGTAAATTAGCGTCCTTAAACTTCAAAATATTGAAATTTCAAGCATTTCTGAAATTTGCCGTTATATGATAAGTGGTCGTAATTTTAATCTGATTCCAATAATTTTCAACGGTTTGCTTCTATGCGGCAAGCACAATAATCATACCGAGTTTGGTACAAATTGGTAGAACGGTTACCGATATACACATATGTGATCATAAGTGGGCGGTGTTACGCCCATTTTCCAAAATTTTATCATAAACGTATTTCTTGGTAGAGAATTGTTGCAAGCATTCATTTTGAATAAATTAGCTTTAATATTTATTGATTTATCGAAGATTTCGTATTTCTCCAAATTACCGTTATATGGGTGGTAGGCGTGGTTATTGTCCGATTTTAAAAATTTTCGGCCATTTGGTATGCTGTAGCAAGACTAACAACTGTGCCAAGTTTGGAAGAAATTGGTGAAGCGGTTACCAAGATATACACATGTATCCATAAGTGGGCGTGGCTACGCCCATTTTCCAAAAATGTATAATATTCTTATTTTTCGTCTAAAAGTTATTGTAAATATCAATTTTGAGTGAATAATCTTCAGTAGTTACTAAAATATCGCAGTTTTCGTATTTCTGAAAATTACCGTTATATGGGAGGTAGGCGTGGTTATTGTCCGATTTTGCCCATTTTCAATACCATCCGTCCTACGGCCGAAATAAGTATACGTACCAAGTTTCGTTAAGATATCTTAATGTTTACTCGAGTTATCGTGTGCACAGACGGACAGACGGACGGACGGACGGACGGACGGACGGACGGACGGACGGACGGACAGACAGTCACCGCTTAATCGATTTCTCTTTTCATTCTGATCATTTATGTATACATTTGTCTATATCCATCTCGATTCGTTTTGCCTGTTACAAACAACCGTTATGTGAACAAAGTTATAATACCCCTGTGCACAAGTGCGCTCGGGTATAATAAATGGATTTAGAAACTCATATGAAATGGGTCGATAGTATCGATAGTCACCCTTAAGACTATCGTAAAACATCGATGGACTTGACTATCGATAGTTTGACAGCTCTATTAGGAGGTATGGAAGATATACCTTTTAAAGCACCAATCTAATTGATTTTCCGTGGTGTGTGTGATCGGTGTGTAAACCGGTAACACAATTTCTTGGTTTTAGCTGCCTACATAAAGAAGTTATATCGCAAAAACTTGTAACTATCAGTGGTATAGGAGATAAAGCTTATACAGCACCGATCTTTACGATTTTCTCAGTAGAGTTTGTGTGATTATTTAGAAATTTGCTCACGGAATTTCTCGGTTTTATCTGACCAAATAAATGAGTTTTAAAGTAAAACACCATATCTGAACAATGAGTTGTATGGAGTCTATAGATTATAGTGTCCCGATCTTAGTCATTTTTACTGTAAGCATTCTGTTGATAATGTTAGGAAATAGTGCGAAATTTCTTGTTTTTGGCTGCATAAATGAAGAGTTCCGGTTCCGACAAATGACTAATAAATTACACTGTACGGCAAAATCAACTTTTTTTCTTTAATTATTGCATGTAAGCAACTAAAAACCTAAAAATATAGACGTAGTCCTTCTTTTGCTCTTATTTAAATGGTATATCACTTTTTTGTGCAAACTTATTTTACAGGTGCTATAAGGGGTCAAAATTCAGGTCTTCGAAAAATTTAATTCCTTATATTTCAAACAATTATGAACTGATTTATAAAATTTATATCGTTGTAAAGGTGATTAAATCCCCTTTTCTCTGATATGCACACTTATATTACTTTGTATATAAAAACTTTAGAAAAAAACACATGTAAATGAAAAAATACCTTTTTTTATAAAAAAAAAATGTTTAAAAAAAAATTACTAACCGATTTTTAAAAATTTGGTATCGTTGTAAAGATGATTAAATCCCCTTCCTCTACTATGCATATTTGTATACCTTGTATATAAAAATTTGAGAAAAAAAACACATTCAAAGGAAAAAATACATTTTTTTTTTAATATTTTAAACAAAAAAAATACTAACCGATTTTTAAAAGGTTGGTATCGTTGTAAAGACAATTAAACCCCCTTTCTTCTAATATGCATACACACACATATACACGTAGTGTTTTAATTGTTTTTAAGTGTTTTTCCTCAAATCTTTATTCACGAAGTATACCAATATCCATATCAGAAGAAAGGGGGTCTAATCGCCTTTACAACGGTATCAATCGTTTAAATATCGGTTTGTAATTTGTTGTTAAAAATATTTTTTTTATAAACAAAAGCTTATTTTTTCCTTTAAATGTGTTTTTCTAAAATTTTTATATGCGAAGTATACAAATATGCATATCACAAGATAGGGTATTACGGCATCCACACACCTATGCGATTCTGTCGCAACGAATCCGCCCCGTTTTTGATGCTACAGACGTTACTGCTTCGAAAACGCAAGTACGCAAACAACTGTAGGGGTATTCTCTGAGTCTTGCAAAGCCCTTGCATGGTGCACAGATTGCACGGATTGCACGGTTAAAACCGGTTTTCGTATGGGACAGCTTTGCAAACCGTGCAATCCGTGCACCGTGCAAGGGCTCTGCAAGACTCAGAGAATATCCCTTGTGTGATTTTATCGTAGCAAAAACTGTCAATTTATCAGTGTTGCCACAAAAAAATTACCAAATTCCTCAAAAACAAGGGAAAAATCCTCAAACTCCGAACAAATTACTCAAAATTTCTTATTTGCTATTTACAGGTACTTAACATAAAAATTAATTACATTCTCCAATTCCATTGGTACATTTATTCTTGCAGTTCAAACAAAGTATCACCGTTATATCTTATGCCTTGGTTTGTATATAATATTTCTGCAACTATATCAGTGCTCAATTTGGCCCCCAAGTCAGTCCTACACGTTTTTAAACTATTAAATATGCGCTTAGGTTGTGTATGATAAAATCGCCTCATGCGCAACGGAATTTTGACCGAATGAGGACGCAAGAGAGAAAAATCGAAGAAAACCAAACCCTTTTACACTAAAATTCTTTCCTTGAATGAGTCATGTTTGCATGGTGTATGGCGAAATGGGAAAAGTAGGTTTGAAGAATGCAAGCCGCTTGTGTGGTTTATTTCGCTCATTTTAAAACTTGGGAAAGTTTTTTGTTCCCAAATTTGCAGAGCGATTTAACAACTCTCTTGTGTAAAACATGGTTGCATTTGTTATCTGCAAATATATCGAGAGAAAATTCCTGAAAATGAAAATCCTCAAAAACTACTCAAGCGCTCTCGAAATTCCTCACGTTTTGAGGAATTACTCACAAAGTGGCAACACTGCAATTTATAGACAAACAAAAAGTATTTTTCAGCAAACATAAAATTCCTAACTTGTCTACGTCAAACATGTTTTGTTTTCTTACGTTCAATTTTGTTTTAATGTTGTAAACTCCTTCTATTGCCCTTTTTCGTTCTCAAAACGCGGCAGTCTGTGATTTCGGCACGACCAAAAGAAGAACTGTGAATGTTCCAATAAATCGCTGCAGCAAAATCGTATAAGTGTGTGGGTCCTCATTTAAAACTATGGTCGGCATTGTTGTAATTTATGTCGGAACAGGTTCGCACCGACAGAATCGCGTAGGTGTATGGATACCCTTAAATCACCTTTACAATGATATGAATCTTTTAAAAATCAGTTCAAAATGTTCTGAAATATTAAGTTTTTAATTTTTCGAAGATCTGACCTTTGGCCCGCTATAGCACCTGTAGTATAAGTTTTCACACAAAAAGTTATACACCATATAAATAAGAGCAAAAGGCAGACCGCGCCTGTATTTTTACTTTTTTTGCTTTTTACATGCAATAATTAAAAATAATTTTTTACCAGAGGTCCAATTTCGAACTTCGAAGGCCCATATAGGCTATATTGCATACAAATAGATGAACAGACGGACATGGCTAAATTGGCTCAGCTCGATGTTCTGATCATATAAGTATACATTTTCTGGTACTTACAAATATCGGACCAAAGTTATAATACCATTTCATGCTCATGAAAGGTATAATTATCAGATTACAAATCGGTGAAGTAGGTGACAGAAAAGTCGATAGTCTTTTGAAAAATATTAAACAATTTTCCCTGGAATTGAGTTTTGAATATATTTCATGAAAACAAAAAAAAATAAATATAGATCACTTTCTTTCTTAAACACCTAGGATATAACTGACCATTAAAAAGGACTCTGAATGACGGCGAACCTGAAAGCTTTAGACATTTTTTGATGTGATTTTTAAAATTAACGATCCAAAATTAGCCGGTATACATATTTTAAAGTTTTTAGAATCAATGGTTGAATTTTTGTACTGAAAGGGTTAAGAAAGCT